GTATATTGACAGTTGTACGTGCCTACGCACAGAACAGGACATAATCAGTCAGTGCCCGACGCAAAATGATTTTGTTCGCGCTTTCTGATCGCGAACAAGGGGACTTCAGTACGCTTTTAGGTCGCTCGCGATTCGTCGGCAATAATCTTTTGGCCCGTAAAGCCCCGAGGCTGGCCGAGGAGGGACCCCGGTATCGGACACGATCCCCTTACCGGTGAACTCGTGGTCTAGTGGTCAAGGCGACGGGTTCCTAACTCGGAGGACCGAGGTTCGAGTCCCAGCAAAGGTAAAGTACTTTCCAATTAAATAAAATTACTACGGTGAAATAGAGGATGAGGGAGGGGGCAGGGAAAGGTAACAATCGGTAAAAACTACACAGAAAATAATTTCCTTTTTGGCTATCGGAATGCCGCTGCCTACCCGCCCCGTACATCTCCTACCCCCGGGTACTGCCCTACCCACGCCCCCTACCCCTGGCGTCGTCCCCTGTAAACCAAACCCCCAGCTGCGGCTCCTGCCCCCCCCCCCTCCCCTTTTGCACTCGCCCCCATGACGAACGTTAGGCGCATCTTCAGCGACCTTATTAGCGCACTGAAAGCGAACCTGTGGCGATCAAGGGGCGACCTGAGCGGGCCTCCAACTGGAGTTCGCTTTTAGTACGCCAAGTACGTCGGGCGAACTCCAAAGGTCGCGTAGTGGGACTCACGCGACGTAAGCGCGAACTCGGGCGGCGACCAACAGCGAACTCTTAGCGACCTCGGCAGAGGGTCGCGCTTGACTCGTCAGGACGAACTTATCGCGCACCTTTAGCGTACAGAACATTTTGGGTCGGGTGGGGAAATGAGACTATGACTTTGCTCGTTGTTCATCAACGGTGCACTGGAAAAACAAAGTTGCGAATCCCTACCTTTAAAAGGCACCAAATGTGACCGTTCACACCTTTAGCTGGCTAGCATCATATGAGTTCCACACAAGTTTTGTACCTTTGGAAAGGCACAAAACTTTAGTGCCACAGGGAAGGCACCTAAACTGCGCCCTTGACTTTAGTGCTCCAGAAAAGGTGTTGTTTATTGCCTTTGTTTTTCCAGTGTCGCAGTGTGGAGGAGTGGGTGGAATTCCCTATTGGAAGCACTGTCGTCGCTGGGAGCGTCGGCCAGCTCCACGGCGCGGCGGTCGCCTCGAAAGGGCGACGTTCTGCATGCCCACAGTCCGCCACAGCAGTATCCATACCCTCCTCCCCGCTGACGCATAATTTTCGCCATCCATGCGACTTTCGCCCGCCGTTTACTGTATGATGGAGCCCCGCAGCGCACTATAAACCCCGGGGTGTCAATTCGGCGCGGACTGTAAACAAACACACACACACACACACACACACACACACACACACACATCTCTCTCATTATTCGCAGTTAGCGCGCCTTCCTTTGAGCGGACGCGCGCGCCGTGCCACTGCGTGCCACACGACCCTGCTCGCCGAATCGGATTGCGCGTCATGTCATATAGCACAGAAAGCTTCGATAAGCTCGGAGCGCGCCGCGCGCCGGCTGTACGGCGCATGGATAAAAATTTCAATATTCCAGAAAAATATTGGGATTTAAAAAAAAATTAATGTATTATTTTTTTGTGAATATATTTTCTCAATTTTTTTCTGGAAATGTTTTCAATTTCGCAAAAACAAATTCTCATCCTCTCATTCTGAAAAATTTTGGACTCTAAAATCAATAGTAGTGCGGCGTCCGGCCCGGCACATCCACACCTTATAAGCATGCCTTTCTTTCTCGCCGTAAGGCCTCGATTGAACTGCGCGTCTGCCTTATTGTTTGGTGGAGACCTCTCTCTCTCTCTCCTCCCCGGGCCGGCTCGGCTCGGCCCTTCTTGGCCCGACTCGGCTCACAGTCAGCAGCTCACACCACCACACAGCGTGGCCTCTGCTCATTGACTGCAATTAGGGGGCGGCCTTCGAATTGAACTTGGCGCGACGTGCGCACCGCCCGGCCCGGACCATAGCTCTCTTATGGCCGCGAAAACACAATAATATCAACACGAGGGCCCGCGTGCCGCCCCGGCCGGGCCGCCCCAGCGCCACGCCCATACTATAGAGCAGCATCTATCTCGTCGTTATTCGCTAAAAATAATCGCCCCCCAAATGGTGCCGATCTGCAGACTCGCAAAAAAGGGCACTACGACGGCGGCGGCGGCGGCGCTACTGCCCCATCTGTCTTCGGTTTGGGTTATTCCGCTAACTGCTTGCTGCTGCTGTGTGTGCAACTCGAAACGGAAATGGGAAGAAACCGGGAATAACCGCGCAAAGATTGACGACGCGCGAGCGGAACACGGTGCGGGGGGCGGCGCGGCCGGCGCCCCTGATGCTCCGGGGTGGGCTCGCGCGGGCGAGGGCGGGCGGGGGCGAGCCTCGGGGGAAGGCGCCGCGCCAAGTGCCGGGAGGGCGCCGCGCAGCCACCTCGCCTCCCCCGCGGCCGCGGGCCAGGGGCCGGAGCCTCCCTCACCTGCGCGAGGGTGCGCGCGCGCGCGCGCGCCCAGTCCGAGCAAAGCAGGGCATCGCCCTGCCGGAGCCCTACCAGACCACCACACCGCGCCACGACGCCGCACCCGCAGAGGTCGATATCTGCCATCTGCCGGTGTGCTTTGACCGCGGAGGAGGACAAGAGGAGGAAAGGGGTGAAAAGGGAGGGCAAGAGGGGAAAGCGCGCAGGCAGTAAAGTCGGGCTCGGTTGTACTCCTACCCACGACACGGCAACGAAAGAAGGCCGGGCACCAAAATGCTTGTGCCTAGGAATTTTATTTTAGAATTTTCGAGATTAGTATTTTTGGGGGGGAAAATCAAGATTTATTTTGTTTTAAATCTGATTTTCGCCCCTAGTTTTTCCGAGGAGATTTCAGGTTTTAAAATCCCTAGTTTTTGCCATCGGCAGCAAAGGTTCGCAACGTTACAAATTAAGAATAAATAAATCGCTAAAAAGAAAGACCAATTACACTTAGTGTTTGTTGCAGGTCGATACAGAACGGACAGAACCTTGTTATGGAGTTTCCCGCTGGAGGGCGGCGGAATGATTGCGTGGGAACCGGAGAGGGCGCGCGGAGGAGGGGGAGAGGGGGCTACCGACCGGCCGGACGCCCGGAGCTGCCGTGAGTTGTGCGCCACTATAGGTACTGCCCGGTGCACCGCACAAGTGTGCACCGTACCGTCCCCGCGGGGGCGGTGGTTGGGTACCGACTACACCGACCGGCTATACGTATGGGCCGGGTTCTTGTGGGAATACGCCAGTTCTGGTTCTGGTTCGGTCTGGGTCCCCAGAGGACGCACCATAGAGTTGCACTCCAATCAAGTCGAAGGTAAGGGAAGGGGTGGTGGTGGTATGGCGGGTGGAGTTGGGCGTCGTTGGGGGATGGTGGGGGGGATAAAGGCAATCACTGCTGGCGCTGCTGGTACGTATGTACCTCTGGCCTCGGTTACTTGAGACCGCCGGTCCTCTTGAACATCGACGACCCTACATTCGAGATGATGACGCAGAGGGTTGGCGTTGGCGTTGTGGGTGTTGTGGGCCAGCGCAGCATTCGCAGCGCCTCCCGTGCCTCCCGTGCATGATGGGTTGCAGGCCGGCAGGGCGGCGGCCCAGCTGCAGCTGAGCTGCCCCGCGCTCAATGGGCTGCCTACCGGCCGGGCGGGGGGGCAGCAACCCGGCAACGTCACTCCGTCACTCTCAAACGAAACACCCGGTCTCGCGCTGCCGCAGGACTGAATTCTGGGGTGGAGAAAAAAAAAGAGGATGGGTGTGGATAGCTAGAGAAAGTTTGCAGCGCGTTCGAAAGCGAGCAGGAGAGCGGCAACTTTGCTAAAGTCACGACACCTTCACGGCGGGGGAAGTTTGCGGGGCTGCTGCTGCTCTGCCCGCTCTCTGCCAGGCGCTGCTTTTGGAGGGAATCACACCAATTGCGCCCACCGTTTAACGGAGGCGAGGGCGACGGCAAATTAATTAAACGGGAGGGAGCCGGGACACAGTGAGGAATGCCGACATCGATACAATATCGTTTCGATGTCACTTGTATCGTTAGAGGTGCCACTTTCGTCACGTTAACGATACCTCAAACGACAAGTGGCATCGAAACAATTTCGTATCGATATCGACAAAAAAAATCATTCCTCACAGTGGGAACAGACAGGGAAGTACTCAGCGAAAAAAGTGCGACGTACTGCGCTGATTGGGGCCTGATGAAAGGTTACAAGAAATTGTAAAAATGAGAACGTGATGAAACACTCTCGCAATGTACGGACGCAATCTTTCTGTTTTTATGCGGAACGTCCACATGTGAGACGACAGGAACATACTACCACCCACGGGTCGCCCCAGCTACACGGAGAAAAATACTTTGTTTGCTTTAACTAAACTGGTGTTTAATCTGCCCCGTCATAATCATAGAACGATCAATCGTGCTGGATCTATCGTTTGGTTAGAGCGTCTGAACGCTTAGCCAGCACGATAGAACGTTCTAGGGTTATGACCTCGGTTATGACTCAAGAGGCAGATTGAACACCATTTTAGTGACGACAACCAAATTTTTCGGCCGTGGTGACCAAACATTTTTTTCAGTGTTGAGGTCTGATGGGCCTGTAGCGATATCTCGACATTTGTAAGTTGGCGCCACTGACCAAAACTGCGAATAAGTTGTCTGTCAGATAGGTACAGAAAATTCGAAGAGCGCTAACTACCACCGGCAATTCCTTGCCTGTGGGAGGTCTTAAATGAAAGATTCTTCGACAGATCCAGACCAATAAAGCGAATAATATTAAACATGAAAAGTGGAAAGTCAAAAGTTACTTTTACCTGACTACGATGGGCTACAACATGGGCCACCTACGTGACAGTGTTCGGGAGCACTTTGAAAAATAGCCGCGAGAACGTTCACTGTTCTGATTGGTCCACGACACTGCACGTCACGAAAACAAAAGGCGGAAGGCGGGAGAACGTGGTGGGGGAACTGTTGTTTTGTTTTGGAGGCTCACCTCTGAGCAGTGCAAGCTTGAGTAGTGCAAGTTTTCATTGCAACTGTGTGTACTTTCGTCACTCGCCTATTGCATCAGAAGAAGTGTCAACTTTTAGAATGAAGATGTCCAAGCTGTTTATTCTTGTTTTTACCATTTTGGTTTTTGCTCAGACTGATTGGGTAAAGGCTTCGAAGCCGGGTAAGCCTCTACCAAACAAATCCTCAAGGGATACGGTTAGAAACTCATCAGACTTTAAGGTCTTGTTTGTCAAGCATCAATTTTTGGAAATTTTTCTTTACTACTTTATTGTTTTGTTTATTTGACACGCGTGCTCTGAGATTAATAGTTTATTATGATTGTAGCTTGACCACTTATCTTGAAATGGTTGCTTGCAAAGTAGGGCAAATTTTTATATTTAGAAGTTTTTAAGTTGAGTATTTTAATTTTTGCAGATAGAATTCTGTACAAAAACCTAGGAACTCTTTACTTTTACCCTGGAGAGATAACTAGATCTCGTCGAACACTCGCTGTACCTCAACTTGTGTGTCTGAAGGGATGTCAATACCCTCAACCAATATCGGTTAAATGTGAAAATGTTGGTTGGGATGGAAGCTCCAATCTGGTATGTATTTTTATTTTGTGGTAGCAACTTAGTGTGAAGTTACCACTAATATTATCTTACATTTCATTATTTTCAGTGGCGATGTACAGCAGAATTAGATTCAGAGTATGCTCTTGATAAACCTGAAGTTGTTTGTGAGGGCTATAGCAGCCCTGATGATTCCTATGTAACAGCTGGGTCCTGCTCTGTAAGGTTTTTTACACTCTTTTGGGGTTTTAATTTACTTCACACATGAAATTGTTAAATCTCATTCTTTTACCATCCACAGTTGGAGTATTCTATAAAAAGAAAAGGGAGCAGTAAAAGCTCTTTTACCTCTCCTATAGAGCCTCCCGGGCTGTCCGGAGTCCTCTTTATTTTGTTTTGTATGTTTTTACTGTATGTGTTGTATATAACATGTGTTAAACCTGATACTGAAGCTCAACAAAACAGAAGGTAATGTACTTTGTTTGAATGCTCTTTACAAGAGATCCATTTATCATGTAATTTCCTTTTTGAACCTACAAAGTATTAGTTCATTACATGTCATTATGTTGTGAATTACAGTTACACAAACAACGATGGTCCTGATGATGGTCGGGGGCCTCAGATGGGCTGGAATATCCCTGGTAGTAATCCGCGTAATCGAAGGAATTCCCCAGGTTTTGGGTTTGGTAATCAACCAAGGTGTGTATTGAATGATGAAGATAGTTATTTTATTTAAATTTGGAATTCAGACAGACACATGTGTGTTGGTCAGGGTGCTCCCAAAATTAAAACTGCTCTGTGCACACCCGCTTGTATGGAATTTCACAATAAAGCGGCAGTAAATCAAGGGCACTTAAATGCCCTTTACCCATCTTTTCATCTTATTTGAAATGACACACATTGTTGTGCCATAGTGATGTGATAGTGAATATTTTGTCATCTTAATGGCGCCTAGTTATTTTTAACCTTGCATTGCTTGCAATATTTTTCTACACAATGGCTATAGATTAAGCGTGTTTAAATGTGCCATGTGCCAACCTTTTGTTGTTCTTTGAGAGGACACACTTTTGTGCCTAACCAACAAATATTCAAGCCTTCTGATGACCCTGCCGCTCTTTTTAGTACTGGCTTAACTTGATATTTACCTACATAATGGTAGGAATTTAAGCGCATTTAAATGAGCCATGCCAGCCTTTTGTTCTTCTTTAAAGAACCACATTCCTGTGCTCTATCAAATATTATAGCTTTTCCATGAACCCAAGCCCAGCTTTGCGCACCTCACAGCCAAACACTTTCTAAGCCTCTGAATTTAGATTGTTTTGTAATACCTGAATTTTGCTAACTCTATTTCCATTACATTTATATTTCAAGGGATGACACCTGTGGTGGCAATAATTATCCCGCTGGTGGTAGTGGAGGAGGAGGTCCTGGATTTTGGACTGGACTAGCTGCAGGGGGAATTCTCGGCTCCATGTTTGGTGGGGGTGCCAGCAGTGGCAGTGGCTACAGAAAGTATGTCACATGAATATAAACAGGGATGAAATGTGAAATGAGTTATATATGAAGTTTTATATGATCATATCTGATCTGATATGGTACGCTTTATATAATAAGACATGATCACATAGCTGATGTATAACCCATTTCATCCCGGAAAATATGTTAAGTTATGTTTTACCAAATGCAACAAAAAAATTGACTTGCATTATTCTTTTCCAGCACCCAGTCCTCTTCCCCAAGAAGGACATCTAGTGGATTTTCTGCGCCATCTAGCGGATTTTCTGCGCCATCTGCGCCATCTAGCGGATGGGGTGAATCTGGCTCAGGCAGTGGTTCCACATCACAATCAGAAGCAACAGCTCGATACCGGCAACGATAACTTACTATCATATGTACTAAATGTGAACATCATCCTACAGGCTAATTGTTGGAATGTTACAGTACCGACTTCTTTCATTGTATTTTGACTTCCATTATCTGTACCATCATGTTTTGGTATTTTGCTCTTGAGTTCTATCTTTCATTTTATTTATTATGACTTCCTCTATTCTATCTGCACCAATTTGTTTTATTTTGCTTTGAGTTGAAAAGGTGCAAACAACTAATTCTCATTATTTATTAAATCTATTTTTATTTTGAAATCTGGATTATGGTGAATTATTGCTCCTCAGCCATTTCTTTTTTCTTTTCATTTTTCTTTTTTGCTGCTTCTTGTCTACCTTTCTTAGTAAAGGAATATTTGATATCTTCCTCACTTATTTTAAGTCCTGGCACTGCCATAGATACCCTAGCAGCACGCTCTGTCATGCTTGTTGCTTTGCAATGAAGAACTGTTTTATTGTCTAGTATCTTCTTGACTTTCTCATGCTGTAAAGCGATTTCAATCATATGGTCTCCATTCAACGTTCGAAATTGTTCAAAGGGTATAGGTATTATACAGACTTCCTTATGATTAATCTGCAAAACAAAAATTCAGAGAGAATTATAGACCGTGATATTCATTAACACAATAACTTTGGTTTGGTTTACACTCACAATTACAGCAAGAGGGAGCTGAAATTTGCTATCTAAAGTAGGCCAGGGCTGTTCTAGAACTGGTTTATCCCATTTGATATCAGAGTTATCTATGTTAAGTCTTCCAGGAGCCGATAAGAAACCTTGCCAAAGTTCTGAAGAAAAATGAGGTGCCATTGGTGCTAAAGTAGAGATTAGGGTGGCAATAGCTAGTTCGTATTGTCTGCTAAATGCTACAACCTCAGGTGGTAATAACTGGAAAAAAAAATGTGGCTATATTAGTTTTTGTTTTAAAAACATAGCTTACTGGATGTAAGAGTGGACAACAAAATTACCTTTAACTGTTTGGTTAACTGCTGCATGCTTTTGATGGCAACCATGAATTGATGTGTATTTCTATAATTGTGAGTTATAGTACTCAAGTGCTTATTTCGCAAACTATAAGCTTCTTTCTCCCCCTCAGAAAAGCTGAGGGAGGACGGATTAGGTTTCAATATCCCTGTCTTTGCACTGTCACGTACAGAGAGAAAATGCGAAACTAGCATGTACATGTTATTTTGCCAGCTAAAAACTCCCTTTGAGCCTTAAAAAGATACATACATTACGTTACTAGTACATTTACTAAACAGTTTTGAAGAAATACGTACTTCTACTTCAATGCCTACCTTCTGGATTCCAATTTCGCTGAGAAAATGGAGCTGCATCGGCCAACATAAGAAGACGAGTGGTGTCCACACCAAAAGATTTAATAGCATCAATGGGGTCAACACCATTATGTTTTGACTTTGACATTTTTTCCCACTTTGAAATCACAGGTTTACCAGTAGCACGGCAGACAGCAAGATTATCTACAGAAATAAGTTTTGGTAAGACATCTACATCAACATTGTTACACTCTCACGTCATTGGCACATCCTTTTTTCAGAAAAATTAGACAGATATGGATACCTTTGATTTCTACTTTATCTCTAGTCAAATATCGTCCAGTCTCTTCTTCTTGGAAACTTTGCCCCATTACCATTCCCTGTACAAGCAGTCGCTTAAATGGTTCAGGACATGGAATTATACCCAACTGATGCAGAAAATGAGACACAATTCTTGCATAGTACAAATGTAAAGTGGCTGAAAGAAATAAGCCAGGAAATATAAAAATCTGGTAAAGCTAATATAAAAACAAGATTTCTGGTAGATATTTAGAAAGACTAAGACTAACCATGCTCTTTCCCTCCTATATACACATTAACTGGCAAATATTTTTTAGCTTCATCAAATGACACTAATTTTTTTTCATTGAAAGCATCTAAAAACCGGACATAGTACCATGATGAGTCAAAAAATGTGTCCATTGTATCTGTTTCCCGTGAAGCTGACCCTCCACATCTAAGAAGAAATTAAGTGATTTTGAAAAGAAAAGTTACATTTGCAAACAAACAGGAATAGGGAAATGGAGATTCTGTTAATACTTAGGGCATTTTGTGTTCACCCATTCCTTAGCCTGTGCCAGGGGTGAGGCAATTTTTGTCACACTCCCTTCATTTGATGGAAAAGGTGGCAACTGTACAGGAAGTTGATCTTCAGGAACCGGCACAGCACCACATGTTGAACAGTGTATGATAGGAATAGGAGTTCCCCAATACCTCTGTCTGGATATTAACCAATCTTTCAAGTTAGAGCTGACAGGGTACCCACCAATACCCATCTCCTGTGCCTTCAAACACAGAGTTTCTGCAGAGGTATCCTATAACAAATAATTATTAAAACCATAGAAATGTAAGGTAAAATATCTTAAATTTACAATGACCAACCTGCTCAAACTGCAATTTACATTGAAGGTTAACGGTCTTTGCAAACATACAATCCACTTCACTTTCTGAAGGCACTCCCATGTATGTGTCTGAACCAGGCGGAAAAGGCAAAACGCCATCTACAACATACACAGGTACCTTCTCTTTTGAAAATGGATTGCAAGCAACAACATTAAGGCGGAAAGCTTTAAATTTTGCTGTTTCACCATCTTTTGTGGTGTACTCATATTCTTTAATAGAATTATGTGCCTAGGCAAATAGAATCCAATCAAAATATAATTAAAATATAATATATTCATTTTTCAATGGAGAAAAACTATATGAAAGGGTTGTAACTGAGTACCTGAAGTACATCCAACATACTTCCTTGCTCAACTGCAATAAATTCAACTCTATTCACAAGTTTAGGTTTACTGGTCCAAACTGGGATGGATAAATCAGAGCTGAGCCCTTCTATTTTCCAATCAAATGCTACACCATCTGCTTCACCAATCCAAGACTTTTGTAGGTTTATAATATCAGCCCAGTCCTCCTTTTGGAGAGTTTCCAATTCTTTCAGAAGATTTCTGTTGAAAAAATTATTATTGATGAAATGGAAAAATTTGAAATCAAAATTACATGGTCAAAATAAAAACTTACTTTGAGAACTTTGTGGATTTCACAAACCATTGTGTTAATAAAATTTTTTCAGCTTTAGCACCTGATCGCCAGGAGTTCCCTTTCTCATCAATCTGTTCATCAGCTAAAACAGTCTTGTCAACTGGGTCCCAGTTCACAAGAGACTGAAAAATAATTTATAGTACTGAAAATGAGGCACATCAACAATTAAGTTAAGCAATGTCACTTACAGGTTTGCGATAGACTAGGCCAGCCTTATACATTTGGAGGAAAATATACTGTGTCCACTTGTAGTACGATGGATGGCATGTAGCAAATTCACGATCCCAGTCAAAGCTACATCCTAATTGTTTCATCTGGAATCTCATTTCATTAATATTTTTTTCAGTCCATGTTGAGGGGTCTTCATTATTTTGAATTGCTGCATTCTCTGCAGGAAGACCAAATGCATCCCATCCCATGGGATGAAGGACCTGTTTTGTAGGGTGAGAGCATTGCTATAGAAACATAGTTCAAACCATTTAATCACAATTGACTTTTTCTTTGCTCACATTGAATCCTTGCATACGATAAAATCGGGCCAATGTGTCACTGATAGTGTACACCCTAACATGCCCCATATGAAGTTTGCCTGAAGGGTATGGAAACATGGAAAGAATGTACGTATTTTGTCTATTCTCATGTTTTGTAAGGCCAAAGTCATCGACATGTTGCTTCCAGAGTTTCTCAAATTCCAGTTTCATGTCCAATGTCAAACAGGGTTGAGGTTCCTGTAATGTTTTCAAACTTCAGTTTGTATGCTACAACAATAAGCAGTAGAAATAAAAATAGTTGAAATAATGACAAGAGATACAGCAAAGGAAAAACAAATTCATACAACTTGAGTACAACTTGTTAATAACCTGTCAACGCTTACCCATGCTGGTCGGTTAGGTACTTGACTGTAGAATCGAGGCAATGACAGATACCCCAGTGAGGAATACCAATGACGCAAATGTAGTCTGCCAAATAGCGAACTCGCAGACATTGTTGAAGAATAAAGTATGTGTGCTTTTTCTGCTTTCTCAAGTGAAACAAGGGATGCATCGGTTGCAGCAGACGCCCAGCCGAGTTTATTGACGCTCCAAGCGTGTAACTGTAAGGTACATCTGAAGACTTGAAAAGTCTTTCATTACCTGTCGTCTCTTAAAATTGTAAAGAATTTTCAATAATTAGATTGTTTCAAATAACTATAAAAATTCAAATACTTCCTTGTCATAACTATTTGACGTGTTATCGTCTTTCCGCAGGAAGTTTCAAATGTTGGTGAACCTTTAGAGCAGAAAGGAAAGCGCTTGAAAACATTCCCCTTGCACCCCCGCTTTAACCCCTCCCCGCCCCGCGCCTTCCCGGTGTTTTCGTTGTGCGACTGATGGCGACTGTAATAGACTTAAGTTTTATTGTTATTGAACGTAATCTGTGAACAATACTGAATGTTTTAAGCAACTATGGACGTAGCCTCTGTGAGAAATGCATTCCTTAGCACTGACGTTGTCTGTGTTAAATGTTTTCGTTCCTTCGTTTTCTCTGGTAAGAACCTAACCTTCTAATGTTTTCAAAACTTAGTGCCAAATTAATTATAACGTGGAATCTGAACGTCTTCCTATTTTTCAGGCGTTGGGGGATACCTTAAAATTTTTGATTTGACTTCCACGAGATGTGTGAAAGAATTAGAAGTGTTCAGAGGCCATAAAATTTATGGAATCATACCTAATGAGGAAGATTACATTTTAATTTATGGGAGTAAATCTGTCAAAATATTTACATTTTCTTCTGTTCAGGATGAGTAGGTTCTTTAATTTATCACATATATGTTTACTTTCTTTTTAAAGTAATTTCAATTAATGATTGTTAATTTTCACAGTGTTTTATTGACATGTATTGCAAATATAACATTGGAGGACTGGATCCTCGCTGCACACTGGATCTCTTCTGCAACTCAAGTTGTTCTTGTTACTGCTCACAATGTTACCTGGCTCTGGTCTTGGAAAGTCATCGGAGGTTTGAATTTGAAACGTTCTGACTGCCATGAAAAGTGCATACTGTATCCTTTTCCATTGCCTCATATTTTATTTGTAGATTAACTGAAAATTATGTTTGTCCGGCAATTAAGTAGTATGTGTTCTTTGACCGCCTTTTAAAATCAGATATTCTGCTACTATTTGTGGTAATGACTGGTCTAGTTGTGTGGTGTTTGGAGGAACTGTATTCAGAGAAATTGTAATCTGGCTACCAGGAGACTGCATTGAGGGGGACCAACCAGTTTTACATAGACTTGAGGGTCATGATGTGAGTCTTTTCCTATCTTTAATTTTATCAAAGAACAGTGATTCTTATTATAAGTATAAGCATGTACATCATTATTTTTGTTTCCCCCCTTTTTTTAAGGGAGTAATATTTTCTCTAACTTGGGATTGGAGTAGTTCTTCTTTGTGTTCTACATCTGATGATAGAAGTATTCGTTTGTGGACTATTACCCTATCTGAAAAATATGACTGGAAATCTTCGAGTGTCACCTGTTCTCAAATATTTTATGGCCACTCAGCACGAGTTTGGCGGAGTATTATTATTCTGGACTACATAGTTAGTGTTGGAGAGGTAAGGATATGCCAACCAGTAAGTAGAAAGTATTATTACTGATTTTCCCCTAAAACTACATTTAATTTTCTAGGACTGTCAAGTATGTGTGTGGAGCAGGAAGGGGAAACTACTGCAAACCCTAGAGAGATCTTCTAGTGGTTGTCAGTGGAGTTTAGATTTCAGTACTGAACATCAACTTCTGGTAATTGTTATGACTGCAGTGTGCTTAAAAATATGTTTGTGATTTTACAATTATATTGGAATTGTTTTACATGTAGGTTACTGGAGCAGGAGATGGATCAATACAATTGCTTCCACTCTCTTTCAATTCAACTACACCAACCATTCTACCAGTCTGTTACCAGAATGGTCTTGTTGAAAGTATTAAATCACACCCTCGTAAATTGGTCCTATTGTCAATAGGACGTATTGTTACTGTTACTGAGGATGGAACAGTACTGAGTGGTTACCCAACTATTCCAAATTCATGGTCAATTCTCTGTAAAGATGAGAGATTTTCCAATTATTGTTTATTATCTGTAGCTCCAAATAGAAGAAAGTTTTCTCTGGCTTCCCTCAAAGGACTTATTCTTATAAAACAAGGTAAACCCTTGCATAAACCTTTTAGATTTTACAACATGCAAT